GGATCCCAGGAATAGACATGCATTGCTCTGGGCTAATCCTACGAGATGAGACACCTGGCTGGAGTAGTAAGAGCCCCTGCCTCCCTGGGGGGTAGGGGGGTAGGACATGGTGACCCCAGTTGAGGGTGTGGCATTGGGGAAGTTTTGCTTTGGTACATAGACAGGAAATATGGGGCTTGAAATGATACCACGAAGAGGTACTGGGATTAAACTATTGGGGGATAAAGAAGGCAGTGAAAAAAGCATTTGAGACAGGGGAAATGATGAAGACAATTGGAAGCATCTCATGGGTGCAGACCCTCTAGTCAGAGAGAAGAGTGGGCCGCTCCACCAGGGCTGTCATGGGTAGAGAGCGCGAGCACACGGCTGAGTGTCTGAGTCCAGGGGGAGGAGGCAACTTCCAAATGAACACCCAGGCCTGAGGAGGGCACTTGCAGCCAAGGAGAGCCTGAGTCCTTCAGGCACTGAGGAGATGGAAAGAGCAGCTGTGCTATATTTGGGATGGAAAATATAAGTGGACTAGCTGGGAACCAAGTGACTTCCCTGTGGAGAACTAACTCTAGACTTTGCTCTGACATTCAAAGCTGCCATGACCTGGCCTGCATGGGTCCCGGCTGCGGATCCAGAGACAACCGGCCCCCTGTACCCAGAATGAGTGTGCTATAGACTAAACCATGCCCCCTCTCCAAATCTGTATGTTAAAGTCCTAACCCACAGTGTGATGCCATCTGGAGGTGGGGCTTTGGGGAGGTAATTATGTTTACATGAGGTTATGAGGGTGGGACCTTCACGACTGGATTAGCGCCCTTTTAAGAAGAGACCACAGGGCTTGCTTTCTCTTTCTCCCTGCCATGTGAGGACACAGCAATAAGATGGCTGTCGGGAAACCAGGAAGAGGGTCCTCACCAGGAATGGAATCCACTCATACCTTGACCTTGGACTTCCCAGCCCCCAGAACTGTACAAAATAAAGGTCTATTGTTGAAGCAACCCAGTCTGTGATAGTTTTGTTATGCAGCCTGAACAGAGTAAGAGCAGGTACCTGCAGACAGGTGTTCTAATATCCCCAAGGTCCAGCTCAAATCCCACCTTCTCCAAGGAATCTGCCCGTACTTTTCCTAGGAAGAATTTCTCTCCTTTCCACTCTGACACTTCAACTACAACACTTGGCGCAGGTCTTCCTGGAAATATTGCCAATTATGTATTCATCAGCTCTCACTTAATTTCCCCCAACTCTGCCCACTTTAATCTATTTCACTTCCTGAGTCAATCCTAACTGAGACAGGAAGTACTTAAGTTATTCTGACAGGTCATTGGACTGGCCTTAGTGTTAAGGTAGCATGTCAACCACAATGATCTTTCCTCATTTTCCTTTGGTATACCAATGTGCCCCTGTTCTTACAACCTGACTTTTGTACTTCTGCCCTGCTATCTGTCCCCCATAAGGACTGCCAGATAAGATACGAGATCAATAATTCTTCAGTATATCCTATGCAATATTTGGGACATACTTATACTAAAAACTACTTGCTGTTAACCTCCTAATTCAAATTTAAGGAGACATTCTGGTTTTTAGCATCTCATGACCAAGTAGCTGTGTCTGATGGCTTTATCCTGTTGCCTGTACTCCTTCCTTGAGGACTACAGCCCTGTCCCTGAAGCTCAAGGCCCAATCCAGAGGCCAGGGCCCCTCTTTCACACTGCAATTGCTTGTCTGGCTGGATTCTCCAGTATCATTCATTCTGCCCTCTGATCTGAACCTCTGCTGTCAGCCCAGCTCAGAGGTCATCCACCTTAGTGGGCAGGCCTGGTGCCAGCCTGTCCCCTGGGCTGACTGATGGCCTTGTCTTGTCTTGCCTCTAGAAAACCCTATGACATACTGGTGACTCCAGGGTTTGACTGGAATGTCTAGCTATTTCTCACCAGATTATGACTCCCCAAAGGGCAAGGGTTATTGCTCAATAAAACCTTCCAGCATGATGTTTTACACAATGTTGTTGCTTCACAAATGACTGTCACTCTAAAGTTGAAAGATGGTGTTATGGGTTGAATGGGGTGCCCTTCTCCCCACCCCCCACACATATGTTTAAGTCCTAGCCCCAGTTCTTGAGAACATAATCTGATTTGGAATCAGGGTCCTTGCAGATGCAATTAGTTAAATGAAGATGAGGTCACACTGGAATGGGGTGGGTCCATAATCCAGTATGACTGTGTCCTTGTGAGAACAGGAGAGAGACACAGCAAAGAGGATACCTCGGGAAGACACGGAGGCATACAGGAAGTGGCAGCTCTGTGCAGACAGGCAGAGATTGCAGTTATGTCGCCAATTCCGAGGAATGCCTGGGGCCACCTCAGCTAGAAAGAGGCAGGGAAGGACTTCTTCCCTACAGGTTTCAGTGGGAGCACAGCCCGCGGACAGCTTGATTCAGACCACCGGCTTCCAGAACTGTAAGACAATGTACTTCTGTTGTTTTAAGCCACCCATTTTGTGGTACTGTGTTATGGCAGCCCCAGAAAACTATCCCAAGGATGGCCTTAGGGAGGAAATGCAAAAAAAAAAAAATTTCTAGAAGAAATCAAGTAATATTTAGTCAAAGAGAAGGAGGTGAGTATGAGACCGTACAGCTGTAACTAACTTCTCTAAGTGCTGTCCCCTAATTTTCTCAAGTAGAAATAAAATAATGTACATCCTTTTAAAAGTCTGAATTGTGATTAGAACCCCAGAAGTACCATGGGGCAGAGACTGGGCAGAAGGAAAGGCCGTGAGGCCCTCAGAAATCCCCCGTGGCCTGCACAGAGGTTGACCTGGGGTCTGGGGCCCATCGTAATACAAGCTTCTGCGGGAGCCCCCCCGGGAGGTGCGTCCCTGCGGGAATGGCTCTGTCAGAAGCCTTAGTTTCATTCTGTGGTGTTGTTTTCAGAACCTCAGAACTTTTAACATGTAGTCTTAAAAAATGAACACAATGGCACTAAACATTTCTCTGTTAGTCAGACTTCATTTCTCTGTTAATCACCCCCATATCTCACAGTACTGTCATGAGCCTATGGGGAACCAGTTTTGGGTCAAGTCAAGGTGACCTAATTCTAAGGCTCACCTGGCAAATAACTGCCTTGGCGTAGTTATAGGGAAAATAATTCTCTTGTCCTTGTAACTATGGATTACATTTCAAATGAAAAGTCCATCCACAAGCTTTCGGAGAAGTAGGAAGTGGAAGAACATCAGGTATCCCTAAAACCAAATAATATCTTAGACAGTTAGGACTATCCACTCTAAGAACTGGAGCCCAGTCTGTATTGGAGGACACCAAGATCTATTTCCACGTATTTGCCCACAGACCTTCCATCTTAATGATGGCGGCGTCCAGCACTGCACAGTAAATAGCAACGAACATTTACTGAGCATTTACCATACACCAAGGATGAGGCTAAGATTCCACAGGGAATATTGAATATAATCTTCATATCACCCTTATTATGAGACAGTTACTACATTTTCCCCACTTACAGATGAGAAAATGGAAGCTTAGGGGGAAGTAATTTGCACAATTGTTAATGAAGGCAGGGTTCAAAAGCTTCCAAAGTCTTCCTCTTGCAGACTGTGTAATTGTTAGAAGCCATGGAACTGGGGGTGTAGAGTTGGTGGTGGACCATTTAATTGCCTGCTGTATACAGGAAATGTGCTAACAGCTTTCTGTATGTTAGATCAGGGGCTGGTGAACTATCTAGACCGGGGGCCAAATCTGGCCTACTGCCTGGGCAAGCACAACCACGCCAGTATCTTTACGTAGCATCTATGGCTGCTTTTGCAGTGACAGAGATTGTCCCACAAAGCAGAAAACATTTACCTTATGGTCCTTCAGAGAAAAAGTCTTCTGACCCCGGTGTCAGATGACTGAATCCTTCTACTGACAGCTCTATTAGAGACTGGTCATCTCAGTTTTAGAGATACGGAAACTTAGGTTCAGAGAAGTTAAGCTGCTTATTCTAGAGCAGTGGTTCCTTGACTCCTGAAATGAAAATCTGTACTTTTCTACAGAATTAACTTGTTTCAAAAGTAAAGAATATTGGGGAAAATGCTATATAAAATCCTTTCTAAAGCTATAACGAAAACTTTACCCAGGCCTCTCTGACTCCAAAACCAGTGAGTGACACTTCTCCTGTATCTGTAGGGACTGTTTATCTGTCTTTGATTAATCACACATGCTTCCTGTCATTCAATAACTATTTAGTGAGCATTTTCTATATGCAGGATACTACGCTCACGCCAACGCCATGATGAGTCATTTCCCTCTGTTTCTCTCTCACCATCTCTCTTTCCTTTGGCTGTTTTGATTAAGACCAAAAACTTAACTCCATCACAGCTCAGTTAACCATTTTCCTGTTATAACAGACTGACCTGTTGATCACTGGGAAAAAGGATCCAAATGAAAATACTACAACACAATGATATTAAAAAGTCCCTTTTTGTTAATTGTAATTAATGATGCTAGAGGCACTTAGGGCAGGAAGAAGTTAAAAGATTTTTGTCAAGCCACCAAGAAAACTGTCCAATCTAGAGCTCTGAGTAAAACAGCTGGAAAGCACGTTTTTCTAGTTTCAAGGTTCTCCATTAAGGGATCAGGCCACAGCCTGTAAGTATAAACCCCACCTTCCATCAATAACTACCGCCATCATCTCTTTGATACCACATTTCTAGAAACTGTTCTTCTGTTACAGTGAACTGTCACAAGCAGAATAGTCAAGCTATTTAAAAATACAAGCAAAGTTAATTATGAAAGTGACTAGCAAGGCACTTTAAATTAACATTCATATTCTTGAACAAATAAGAACATTCAAGTTATTGCATTACGTTTAACTATGTAATAGCTTACATTTAAATATTTCTGATTCTGAATTATTTCTCTCTTCTTTTTTTATTACATTGATAACATGAGAAGTATAAGTTCCAATTACTCCACTGATCTTACGCTGAATATTTTAAAATGATGAAATGAAACTTACTGTGTATTCTGGTCCCAGATGTTCATTCGGACAAGAGGGAAAAGAAAAGAAAAAAAAGAGATAAATGATGACTCAGACCACACATAATGCAATATAAAACCACAGAACTAACAAATACTGGTGAATTGTAATTATTGTAAGGAAACCTTATAAAAGTTAAACTTTCATAAATACTGAATGTCACCATGTTTGCTCTTAGAAGTCTTTCATATGATATTTCTGTGGTTGGGCAGATAAGGACTATAGGACAAGACTCAATTAGCCTATACGTTTGTTGCTAATTAAAAACCAAAGAGTTGGCATTATAAAAGCAGAATTAAAGACTAATAATTCCAATAGAGCATTTCATTAAACACAAAGGAAATCTTTTAAGTGGAGAAGCAGCGTTTATACCCAACAAGAGCTTGTTATGATGATATTCAAGTGGGATCTTGAATTTTCCTCTATTTGAGGGCAGGAACCAAACCTACATTTTTTGGCTGAAGTATCAACACAGAGGTTATTATCAATCCCTTTCAAGTGAGATAGAAAGCAACCTTAAAGATTTTCATATTAACCAATTGCAAAGGAGCTTTAGGGCAGAGAGACCTAACAGAATCTTCTACAAAACTACAGTCAAGGTTTGGTTTGGTTTGGTTTGGTGTTGGTGGGGAAGTGGGGTGGGCTGTAAAACTAACAAGGCAAAGTAAACAATTCGTTTATAAACAAACCATACCCCCAAATTACCTGAGGATTACTGAGGAAACAGGGAGAAAAGGAAAATGAAACCTCTAGAAATGTCACTAAAAAGGACTTCACTTCATTTTCCTTTTTCTAAGCTATTTGCTACAACCACTCTGAGAAGATGGAACGGTTCAGCTTAACCCCCACCATCCCTGCCAGAGGAGCGGTGACCTAAGCAGACGGTGGCAAAGGGTGAGGGAGCTATTACAGGGCTCCCACAGGTTCCTGCCTGGACAATAACCCCTAAATCAGTGAGATCTGACCACGGCTATGCTCTGTTGCTGCACATGAAATACTGGTTGTACGAAGGACTTACCTGTGATTGTGTAGGGATAATAGTTCCAAGCCTTCTCTGTAACATAGAAAATTTTGGGAACAACAGCTCGAGCCCAACTAGGCAGTTTGCTAAGAAGAAAGGAGAAAGAAAAAAAAAGGCAATTAGAGTCCGTCCAGAACCCAGACACGTGCTAGATACATGCTATGGTATCTTTCTAGATAAACTGACTGCAAGGGAAATCAGAGGGGTTCTGAGGCGGCTCTCCTCCAGCAGCCGTCCCTCCCCGGCTCTGGTCTTGACTGCAGTCAGTTTTCTGTGCAAACTCATGTGCTCTTAGGATGTGTGAAGGCAGCAGGTTACAACCTGATGCGGGGGCGCCTCATAGGACTTTAAGCCTGTCCTCTCGGATGTGATTTACAAAGACACCTCTGGGAGGTGCCTGGTTTGAAGGGTTTGGCCAGCCTGGCCTTTGTCTCCTAGGAGTGACATGGCAGAAGCAGAATGAAGGGATGTTTATGCCCAAACACGACAGCGGGACAGAGGCAAGGGTCAGGGCCAGGCGCCAGCTTCACATATGAGCGATGTTTTGAAAATGACTGAAGCAACAGAGCATAGCGACTTCAGAGAGATGAAGAGGAGCAAATACAGCCCCTGGATGACTGTAGTCGGTTGGCTTCTGTCCCCCACAAACATATCTCCAGGCTATAACCCTCAGCACTTGTGAATTTAACCTTATTTGAAAAATAGAGTTTTTGTAGATGTAATGAAGTTAAGGATCTCAAGATGAAAATCAGCCTAAATCAGCCTGGGTTTTGGATGGGCCCTAACTCCAGTAACCGGTGTCATTAGGAGAAAAAGGAGAGGGAGCTTGGAGACACAGAGGTACCCGGCGGGGAAGGCCACGTGAAGACGGAGGCGGAGACTGGAGTGACGCCCCTACAGGCCAAGGAGCTCCGGGGACGGCCACAGCCCAGAGCAGAGGCTCCCTGGGGGCCCCCACGGGGAACCAGCGCTGCCGCCACCAGGATTTCAGACTCCTGGCCTCCAGAGCTGTGAGAGGACGAATTTGTGTTGTTGTAAAGGCACCCAGTTTGAGGCAATTTGTTGCGGCAGCCCTAGGAAATGGATACAGTGACAGATCCATTCCTCCAGAGCAGGGACCCAGGCAGCCATTTGTAGAAAACAAATTCTTAAAGAAATCTCAAGGGCACAGGTCCCAAGATCGTTTGTAACCAAGGACTAATTAAGTTTTGGTCTGTTTTCTTTTCCTTCAGAGGCAAACTCTACAGCACAGGCCTAGAGAATTCCTTAAGTATTATCTTTAAATAGATAGCATTATATTCCTTAAATATGTTTGCATGATTTTATTTCCCCCCAGCACTATACCCTGGGGTTTTCTATCTTTTCAGTTGCTACCATTTTGAATCTTTCCTATTTTGATGCCTACAGCTAAATGGCTGGGACGCCAGTGTTTAGCAGTGCCTCAGACCCAAAGAGGTGCCATAAACTCTCAGCTCCCGAGGGCGGCATTCTGGCAGTAAGGACACCACCGAGCAGTTCTGAATTCCAAGCTGATATGACTAGGAAAGCGGGACATCAGACTATTGGAACCCCAGTCCCCAGCCCCTCTTGGACAAGGAATTTAAATGATAACCAGAGACAGTGAAATACTGTGTACCTTGTATGTCTTCTCGAGTTGTTTCCCTTATTTCTGACAGAATCCAGGTCCCCCTTCTTAAAAGACAAATATGTACTCTCAACGGCTGAATGGCTGAACGCAAAGCTCGGGGCCATTTATCAGGATTAAAACAAACAGGGAGATCAAGTCCCCCTGAAGCCAGGTGAGTGTCCCATGATGGTTCTGCTCTCAAGTGAGCCGTGAGGCGGGGGGCGGGGGGGGGGGTACCGGGGCAGTTCTGTAATTTAGGTAACAGCTCTTCTTGCTGCTCCAGGGCAGAATGTCTCACTCCCATGAAATCATGTCTGCAGTAACTAACTGCTCATCTACCTGCGTTCACACTGCTCAGAAGGAAGGGGTGGCTTCCTGACAAGGGTTTTTATAACTTTCCGCTACGATCTGTCCTTTCAGTCACTGAAGATGGAATGCAACAGCGGCTGTTGTTTCAACTGGGAAAATCACGTTGGACTTGCTTATGGAAACTGGTCATGAGCAAAACTTCCCCCTCTTTTTGCCCCCTGCCCCAAAGCGCTATGTGTCAATGGGTAGCGTAGGAAGACATAGATTCTACTCATAGGCAAATGGTTTTCTTGTGCTTTTAGTGGACTTAAAACAGGACTGCAGAATCTCCCCACAGTACACGAGGCACTGTTTAGCTTACACAAAGCATGTATCTTCCTAAGAGCAGTAGGACCCACTCTCCAGTCTCCGACAGGAGAGGACTTCCATCTACACGACAGCCCTGCCCAGACTTGTGACATTCCTCATGCATAGCACTCTGGGGTCCCTTCCCTCCATACTTCATTCCCTACATCATTTAAAAAGCCTTCCAGCAGAACCACATTCCCAAGCAACAATCATTTTCTGGAAGGAAACACTGGCAATTTTCCATTCATATTGAGGCTTTTCCTATTTGTAAATGGTCAGGAATCCAGCATCCAGAATCTTTATTTCAGCTGTTTAATCCACCAACTCATGCAGGATACACAGCACTATAATCAATCACCTTTTCTGATGAGATGCCCTAAAAAACACAACATTTAGCCAAGATGGCCAAGACGATTTTACATGACTCTTCTAATTAGTTTGGTTAGGAGGCCTTTCTCATATAAGCTGTTTACCAGGCCAGACGCAGGAGGCACTGGCAGCAAATTCCATGCGTGCTATTTAAATATTTTAAAGCCCACTAACAGAACTTCTCTCAGCCCCCGATTTCCCCAGAGCACATCATTCAAATAGTTTTTGTCTGAGAAAGTAAAAATTATTTTTCTCTGTAGCAATGATTTACCAGAGCTGCAAAAGAAAATGGAATTAAATTAGTCCCCACTGTTGCTGTCACTTTAGTGATATATACTGTCACACAGCCCACGATTCTAAAGAGAAGTCTGTCACTCAAACTCACTACCAGGTGTCAAACAAGAGTCTATCTTCTAGAAAGGTGGCAGGGTTGGAACTCATGTCCCTGGTTCACTGACCAGGATCAAACCCCCCAATGACCATCTCATCACAGCTCAGGCTTTAGAGACACTGAGGGAAAACATGGATAAAAACCCTAAAGCTCTTATGGATTCGGGAAATGGGCTGACATGGAATAATACCACATTTCCCAAAAGGTACTTTTCAAGACGTTTTGTTTCTTACCTTTAAATGTTAGTATAAGATAGAATGTATCACTGACACAGCCTGGTGACCAACTCACCCCAGTTTACGTGGGACGGTCCTGGTGTTAGCACTGAAAGTCTCACATGCTGAATTCTCAGTCCTGGGCAAACTGGGACAGCAGGTCACCCTAGAGCACTGGCTCTCAAAGCGGGTGTTGGTGGGGGGGATTTGTCTCCAAGGGGACATTTAGCAAAGTCTGAAAACATCTTCTATTGCCACCCTGGGGTTTTGGTGGTGGTGGTGGGGAAGTCAGGGATGCTCTTAGCATCTGGTGGGCAGAGGCCAGAGATGCTGTTCAAAGCCCCACAATGCTCAGGAGAGTCCCCCACGACAAAGAATTAACTGTCCCCAAATAGTAACAGTGCCAAGGTTGAGAAGCCTGGCCCTGGACTTAAGAGGTTATAGTCCCTGCCACCTTCCCAGATACTCCCTAGGTTTCCTTAAGTCACAGCTGACCTGGTGGGAGGACCCCACAGGCAGGCACAATGGGAGCAGGTCTCAGGTTAAGAGTGTGTATCTACTTCATAAAGAACTTCTAAACTGAAACCTAAACCGCCCTCCACTAGAAGCTTTTGGTGCTTTATAATCCAGGTTATCATCAAGTTCTCTCTGATACCTAATCTCACTTGGCAATTTATACTCGTTTGGGGATATTTTTTGGCCCTGGGAAGTACTGAGCATTATTAGGCCAAATGGAGTCTAAATGGAGTCTAATTTCATTTTCTCAACAGGATCAGAATTAGGATCTTAACTGAACATTTTGGACCTAACTTTCCCAGCAGAAAGACGGTTCTTCTGAGTTCCTGAAAACAGTGCTTCCCTCAGGATTTTTCTCCTCCATGATGCGCCTGGAGCCTGCCACTGGCTATGAGGAGGTTTTGCTCAAATAGCATAACTGCAGCTCATTTAAGTGCTTTTTGAAAAGGACTATGCTACCTTCATGACCTCATTTCCCACTCGTCCAAGAGGGATATCCTGACCTTCTGTTTTCTCTTTGGGCCATAACCTGGCATTTGACAATTATCTGATAATAATCAATTGTTCCTATCCAGTTTCATGTACAGTGACCTCTGAGGTCTTTAAGTTTCTTCTCCAGCTGCTATGATTTATTCACTCACTCTTCTTAATGGCTGTTCTGGCTGCTCTTTTAGTTCTGCTCTTAACATAATTATTTATATGACAGCAAAGAGATGAGCAGAGTTTCCGGACTACAGCCATCACCTGTGAGAGGCAGGGCTGCTAGACTTCACCCAAGGGCAGTGCCTTGTACTTGGACACCACCACCACTCTCCCCACTTAAAAGGGCAGTTTGTGCTGGGATTCTGGAAAAAGAGGCTTGCCTCTTGCAGGTTCTTGGAAGACTCTGCTTGGGCAGCATTTAGGTAACATGGCAAGGGTGCTGGGACACACGCAGGGGAGCAGGCCACATGTGTCAACGTCAGGAGTGAGGCAGGAACATGGTGACAAACCCTTAACTGGATGCTAAGATCCCAGCCAGGCCACCACATCCAGTTTGTGTCATCTTCCATGGGAGTAGCTGAGGGAGCAGAAGGGGGTGTTCCTGGCAGCTCGAGAACTCCTGGCATGTTCTTCAGGGCTGAGATGGGGACAGAATGGAGTAGCATGGACAGCACGGATGGCAAGGGATGTCAGGAAACAGTCCTTCACACATATATATAAAATACTGTTCCCAATATATATATAAAATACTGTTTATTAATTAATTAAATTGAATATATTTACACAGAATATGTAAGACTAAATATTCTAAAATATACACTGCTCTGG